CTTCAAACGTCAACAGCCAGCCAAGTGCAACATGAATATCACACCCATCGAATGGTATACTCGAAATAAGTAACTGATACCTCTTATTCCCATTATTGGGGAAATCGTCAGACACCGTGATTATATACTCTCATAACATAACCGTTAACTATAAAGTAGTTTAATTTGATGAAAACTAAAAATATCGAAATCGACACTTCCCGTCCGCCATCTTTGATGCTAAGGTGACGGCCGTTACCTTCGCTTGATACTGACCGGTGTTTATTTAGACGTAAGATAAAAATAGTAAACATCAACACAGCAGTGAATAAAAAACAGACAGTTTAGTGAAAGTGTAAACTTGGTTAAAATTGTATAAAGTACCAAAATATAAGCACAACCAAAAAAGTGAATGAAACCATCGAATCCTGGAGGCAGGATTCATACAGGATTCATATACGCACACAGATTCTGTATGAATCCTGCCTCCAGGATTCATATAGGATTCGCTGTTTAAATAGTTTACAAATGAATCTTGCCTTCAGGAATCATACAGGATTTATATGGAGGGTACTTTACAAATGAATCCTGTACCCAGGATTCGAGCAGGATTCATATATAAGATAGACCAGGATTCGTACAGGATTCATATGGAAGGTAGTTAACATTTATGAATCCTCTAGCCGAGAAATAGGAATGGCTGTGTTTGTCTTTGTTCTTACACTCTCATTGGCGTAGCCATATATTACGCCATGGGCTTTCAACTAGAGTTGAAAGCCCATGATTACGCCAAATACGCACAGACGTATACGTACCAAATGAATTTGAAAATAAAAATGTGTAATTTTTTGAAAGTTGTTTTATTATTTTATTTTTCTATATAGATATGGTATAGGAACAGATTGTACCGTTTAATAACAATAACAGCAAAACTGCACATTCCGAATTCTCAGAAAATTAGAAAATAGCCAATTGTTGTAATTTAAATCAATTACACTCAATAAAGAAATTGCAATGTGTATTATCAAACATCGTGAACAATACGATTAATAAAATCGTGTAAAACTTTGCAACTGTATTATTAAAATGAAATATATTTTGGTCTATTCGACCGTATGCACCATCTATTCCTTTAAAAGTGTTTAAAGAACCTTTGTGAAAATTGTACACGCCAGTTTAATACGTGTGTGGAAGCCCAACTGTTCCTGGGCTAGGCCTACCCAAGTGTTCTGACTGTTATTCTGACGACCCAAGTAATCGGAGTTCACTTTTTCAGAGAAGAGAATTCACAAGAGAGGGTGCCAAAATATCGAACGGGAAAAAACGTTGGCACCTTTTTAAAAAGTAGACCGACTTTTCACAATCGAGCTCCATATTTTCAAAAAGACGATTTTGAGATATTGAGAATCAGCCTAAATATATAAGGGTTATGTACTGGGAGGTTTTGGATATGGGGTTTATCCAGAGGGAGATATGCATATCTACCTGAGGTGCCGTAGGGACCGAAGGTAGATGTGCATATCTCACGAGGGATGAACCCAATATCCAAACCGACCGTACATAACTGCTATCCTATACCAAGTAGTGTTTTCAGGGGCATATGGCCATTTCAATAGTACGTGTAAAAATAAACAAATCATTCATATGCAAAGTCATTTTATTGCATTTCCACTACTTATACCGGAAGCGGGAAGATATGCACCGAGGCGGGAAGATATGCACCGAAGCGGGAGATATGGCGGGAGATATGGAGGTTCTAGATATGGAAACCTCAAAATCAGGATACGGGATATATCTTACCAACTTATCTCCCTAGAACTCTACTCGGCATAGGATAAATCGATTTATTCGAGTCAGAATATTTTGGAAAGAGTCGAATTACTTGGGTAGCCATGTCTTATTTTTCGCCCCTCAATATCTTAGGTATTTTCCCCAAAGATGGACTTAAGTCATTTTCCATATAACTTCTCTTAAGTTAATATTACAAATATTATCTCATATTACCAGCAATATCGTAGGTTAATTTAACTAAAAAATTAAGCGCTAGCAGCTCCGGTCACGCCGTAGCACCCGACCGGTCCATTATCGACACCTTATACCAAGGGTGATTAACGAGAGCATGTTTACGTTCATCATTAATAGAGATACACTAACCTTACCTTACTATTTCATGACCGACTCATTTAGATATGAATGGAATAGTGGCAGGTACTATTCATATTTAAATGAGCTTCCCATAATAATAATACGGTAACCGACAGGCGTTAATTGCATTCGCAAATACAAGCTCAGCTTGTATTCGCGAATCAAATAACGGCTAGCGGCTACCGGATTAACCTATTAATTTTCATAAATTAAACCATCTGTTTGAAGTTGTAATTTACTAGCAACCCATTTGTCGACTAAACAGCGATCATGTGACTTTTTATGTCTTTGCCACATGATTGAACACACTTGAAATGTGTTTTGCGACTATGCGCACGCGCCAGATGTACTTCTGCTATTTACTTATTCCGAACACCTCGATAGTCGGTGTTAGTTGCTGCTTTAATAGCGTGATTAACCTTGTATTCGCTAATGCAATTGACGCCTATCGGCTATTGGATTAACTTACTATTTTATTGGCAACTCATTTAAATATGTATGGTACCTGCCACTATTCCATTCATATTTAAATGAGTTGATCATAAGATAGAAGGTTAATCCGGTAGCCGGTAGCCGCTATTTGCATTCGCGAATACAAGCTAAATCGTTATTGACCTTGTATTCGCAAATGCAAATAGCGGCTACCGGCTGGCGGGTTGATTGCAGTTTGATGGCAAACTCATTTAAATATGAGTAGTGCATGACGTGCGTCCCGTTAGTTGCCAGCTCGCCCCAAATCCAGTAGCTGAGCAAAATAACGATTTAATCTTGTATTAAAGCAGCAACTAACACCGATTTTCGAGGTGTTCGAAATTGTAAATAGCGGAAGTACACCTGGCGCATAAAAATCGGCGCAAATAACATTTTAAGTTTGTTTGATCATGTGACAATGGCATAAAAGTCTCGCAATCGCTGTTAGTCGACAAATGGGTTGTTCAATATTGCAACTTTAAACTGACGGATTAATTTATGCAAATCAATAGGTTAATCTGGTAGCCGGTAGCTGCTATTTGCATTCGCAAATACAATTTTAGGTCAGCTATTGCTTTTGAGGCGAGAGCTGACAACTAACGGGATGCACGACAGGTACTAATCATATTTAGATGAGTTCGCCATCTAATTGCAATCAACCTGGTCACCGTGGTCAGAGGTAACGCGGCGCAGTCAAGCATATCCGTTCAAAACGAGGCTGCAACGCGGCAAAGACACAAAATGGCCACTCAGTGGAAGGTCGAAAGGGCGGTAAGTTTATTCATAAGCTTCATACACTAGTTTGTGTCTGCTACAGTTATAATAGCATATACCATTCGGTGGAGAACTTCACAGAGTATATGTCTGTGTGAAGCTTCTTGAAATTTAGTCAATCAGGGAAATACATTCCAAGTCAATCAAAGTCAATCACTTACTGAAATTTGACAATTGTGGCATTTTTCTAGCTTAAATTCTATGTTTTTGACTTTGTCACTTGACACATATCTATTAAATCACGTATATACCACGGCAATCTCTATTTCTTCAAAGTTTCATCACTGTTTGCCTTCTGTTAACCGATCTGGGTGGAAAACCAGGTATATTTTGGAAACGCAGTCCAGACACTTCGGCAACGCGGGTTCAGACATCATACATATTTGACAAAACTGGAAACGCAGTGACAGCAATGCAGCTGATGTTCTGACGGGACGTTGATGCGCTTTTTTGGTGCCCAGCGGACCTCGGGAAATGGGGTTGTTGGCCTCCTCCCCTCTCTGGTGATATGAATTTCCGTTTATTCCCCTCGACATTTATGTTTATTTTAGAATTGCTCCCTATTCTTCTGTATAGGGATAGATTGGTATTGCTTGATCTTTTTCTGAAAAAAAGTCACATGCCTTATTAGATCAAAATCCTCGACAGAAAAGCATAATGCAAAACTTCTTTGTACTTTACAATACAGAGAAAGTTGATGCCTGCACTGCGTTGCCATACAATTTAATCTATGCTGTCGACGCGTTGCCATAATTGCTGAAAATGACTGCGCCGCGTTTCCGGCTAGTTCAATTTTGTAAGCAGATTGCGATGAAAATAAACAAAAGTTTCAATCTTGATTTGTATTGTACATTCTATAAGTATCAGGCTATTGAATGTCAATGTTAAATTTGCTCACGAGTGGCGAAATACCTCCTTAATTGGAATAAGAAGATAGGTCAAGAGAAATAGGATCGGGAAATCATATCTGCGTTGACTATTTCTTTACTCTGGTCAATGCCTGAACAGAAATTCTTATAGCTTTACATACCTTAAGGGGTTGATCACCGAGTGTGAAGCATGAGTTTCCAAAAACTTACCTATGTTTCGAGGAAACAGAGGACTAAGTGCCTCCGATAATTGGAGTTGCCTCCATTTTGTGTCTTTAACGCGTTGCAGCCTCGTTTTGAACAGATATGCTTGACTGCGCCGCGTTACCTATACCCACCTTGCTGGTAGCCGATAGCCGCCATTTGCATTCGCGAATACGCCTTGAGTCTCTTTCCAATGATGTCAGGAAACAAAGTTTTTTTAACAAATTGTCAATCAGGTATGCTGTACCATTTTTTATTTTAAACTAATTGTTCCCTTTAATAATGAACTTACCGCTATACGACCTTAATTGTAGTCGAGGGATCAATAAACTACTACTATTACGTTCACGTAATTGTGATCGCGATTTCAGGTTCTAAAAAGTATACATTATTCATTCGTTGCCGATCAGATATTGGCACAAACGCTATATAAATCGATGTGTATAGACACGAGTTAGCCGAGTAGATGAAAATGCAATTTATTTCAATTGCGACCATTATTTTCTTGATTTCATTTGTCAAAACAGACAGCGTTAATGTAGCAATAAATCTTTCTAAACACCAACCGCACACATTGTCGTACAAGAAACTCCCCAATGCCGAGAGACTGGGGAATTCGTTGAAAACCGTGAAAGTTTTGACGAATACAAGATGTGAGGCGACCTGTTCTGCAATACCTAACATATGCGACTCGTATAACCTAAGACGAGTTAATGATGATACATTCAAATACTCGTGTGAGCTATTCGGTCCATGCGTAGCACAAAGGCCAACTAACTCTACATCTCTCGTTGTCGATCATTACATAAGAGAAGGTAAGGTATAATTCACACCTCGATTCGGTGTACTTCATTCATTTATTCCACGTGACTTCTACTCAAGATGGGATGTACGAGGGTTGTCCCAGAAGTAATGCACTATATGCTCTAACTTTCTTAAATATTCTTCAATTCTATACTCATCACTCTCTTTCATAAGACACAACACACATTTCTTCAGTTTCAAGAAATGAGAGCGCTTGGCACTCAGAAAACTAAAGAACGGGCATTAAATGTGGATTTCAAAAAACCTACACGAGAACAAAACAATATATTAGATTCCAAGATTCTTCGTTACGCTTAATCTGTCACACAAACTGTCTTTGACATAGCCATCTTTTGAAGAATCACTAAGCCAACGGCCGTGTCTCTTAAAGTTTCTGTCAGAAACCGAATGGTTTGCAGCGGCGCTTGCTCCGCCGGATCTAAGCGAATGCACACCAAATGACTTTGGATTCAAACCAATTTTGCTCAAACAATCTTTAACAATTTCTCTCACTCTGGTGTATGACACCTTTTCTTACAATATCTAGAGACGAAAACTCCTTTTTTAAAAGTTAAAACCATGAAAAACATAGTCTGTCTTTGCAAGTTTTACATTTATGTTGAGCATATCAATATACCTTTTTAACAATGTATATGGGCATGTAGGTGTACTTGTTTTAGCGACAACGACGGTAGCACCATCCCTGTTTTTATCGGTTTTTGAAGTAGCAATGTTAATGCTGAAATGATCACTATAAAAACAAATGTCACCGTATGTTATTGTAGAAAGTTCGTCGTATCTCAAAAATGCTGCAAAACCAAGAATACACAAAGTCACGTCTCTTAGAGATTTCAAGGAAGTTGTGTGATCCAAAGTTGAAACCATGTAAAGAGATAGCATTTCAGGAGTTATTGGCTCCTTTTTACAAGTTGGTTTGTACTGTGTCCTTTTAGACGCTTCTAAAATGTTGTTGATTAATGGAGAATCACACGGATTTGGAAAACCTGCACTACTGTGTGCCCAACTTATAGCAGCTTTAACAGCTGATAAAACGCTGTAAGATGAGTCCTCTTCTTTGAGGAATAATAAATACATAGCAATGTATTTTGGCTCTGCTGTTAACATAGTTATTTCTTTATATTGCGAAGCCCAGTCCTGCCATTTCTTGATCGTATTGTCTGCTTTGCTACACTTAACTATGGTTGTAATCACTCCACGCGACAAAGCTTTTAAGCTTGAATCTGATACTGCGCCAATGTTTCTCGTACCATGTTCCATCAGCCTGGAAGTACATCCAGAACCATTTAAGAATATAATACAGTATTTAAAATACAAAACAAAATATTATGTACGCCCGGTCATCACCGATAATGCCTTCTTCATCCAAACCTTCAAATAACTGGATTCAAACACTGGCATCCAATTGTCCGCTTCGGGGTCTAAAAACAATAACATTTTAATCAAATGTGCTAAATCTAATATATACGAATGTAGCGACATCACTTTTTTTTTAAATGAAAATATACGTAATACAAAGAAATATTTTAATATACTACGTGTAATTTGTGCGACAAAATCATGTTGGCCGAACAATTATACTATATGTGTTCTCATAATTTGTATTAAACTGCACATTATTGTTTATCTTGCACAATACGATATACTTACATGCACTTATGTGTTAAGTAAAAAATTCACGATGCAACGTACTTACTTGCAACCCACAGGATGCCTCTTGAACAACAGATGTGATAACCTGCACATTACGATGTGTTATCCTTCACAATACAATGTGTTATCCTGCACAATAAGATGTGCTAACCTGCACAATACGATGTGCTAACCTGCACAATGCGATGTGCTAACATGCACCACACGGGGTGCTTTCTGCACAATACTATGTGCTACCCTGCACAATACGATGTGCTAACCTGCACAATACGATGTGCTAACCTGCACAATACGATGTGCTAACATGCACAATACGATGTGCTAACATGCACAATACGATGTGCTAACATGCACTTCACGGGGTGCTTCCTGCACAATACGATGTGCTAACCTGCACAATACGATGTGCTAACGTGCACCTCACGGGGTGCTTCCTGCACAATACGATGTGTTACCCTGCACAATACGATGTGCTAATCTGCATTATACGATGAGCAAACCTGCGTATTACAATGTGCTAACATACACAATACGGTGTGATAAATTCTACATGACGATATGTTTACCTGTACAATACTTTCCCGTTCAAACGAATTACTAACATGTGTGATTTCAGCTTTTCAGTACCAAATATCGTGTTCTCAAAGTTGCCCTTTTCAATGACTTTTGTAGAATGGGCGTATTCTAAGACATCTATAACAAAGTGTTAGTAACTACCATTGACACAAATCAAAGGCCAAAAATAAGATGAGGGCCATTTGGGAACTACCAAGGTTCCCATAGCTTTGCATTTCACAACGTGTTTAACAATTTTTCCGATCAAATGCACAGGCGGTACTAGCCAATTGTTATCTTTTCCCCAGTCAAAATTGAATGCATCGACACCAGAAGACGTGGGCTCATAATATTTTGAGTTAAACTTGTCAACAAGAGCGTTATCAGACGCAGCAAACCTATCAAAGGAATGTGGACCGTATCTTTTATTCAAAAAGTTGAACATGTTCTGTTTGACTCTCCAATCGTCTGAATCGACTTCTTTACTCATTGAATCAGCCAAAACATGTTCTTCTCTGGGCACCCACTGAACTCTCAAATCAATGCAATTTTCTCGTCTCATTTGGAAAATGGAAACCACTAATTCCTGTAGATCAGATTTCATACTACCTTTGCAAATGATTCTACCCACAATTTTTATTATCTGACAACCATAAAACAGCTGAGTTCTTAAGATGAGCTAAATAAGATTGCATGACCACTTGCACAGCTTTTAACTCTCTCCAAGTCGAACTTTTAACTTTTTCTGCTTGTGACCAATTTTTTACGACATGATTCACCGTTAAAATTGACAATATAACCTGCACGTGCACTGTCTGACGCGTCAGAATACACCAATTTTTCGGGAACTGCAGCTTTAACAAATGAAACCCCGTTGAATGCTTCGCACTCACTTTGCCAAAATACCAATTCTTTCACCTCAGTGTTTGACAGTGCCGTAAATGAGTCCCAACATTTCACCTCCATCAATTTTCTGTTCAAATGTCTTGACATCAATTGACAAATGTCTCCCATGCCCGTCTTTAAAGAAATGATTGAACCAACTATCTGTGCAATGACTCTAAATGTGACATGGAAACGACAACGTAAAACGTTTTGTAATTTTTCAGTCAAATTCTGCAGTTTTGTTTTAGGCACATAGATACTGCAATCCAATGTATCAAATTCGAAACCAAGCCAGACTAATTTGTTTGTAGGTATCATGTTTGACTTTTGTTTATTAACAACAAAACCTGATTTTGAAAAATCTGTCATCATTTGTTCCACAGCATTTAAAGCGTCAGGTAGACTTTTACTGATGAAAATCGAGTCATCTAAATAGGCTACGACCTGTAGTCCCAACGATCTCCAATGAGCTATCAAACACCTGAATAACTTTGTAAAAACTAGCCCTCTAGTTTTAATGCCAAATGGTAAAACGTTGAAAACGAAATACTTCCTGACCTTGTTTTTCACATAGAGCTCGACCTTGCTCTCTCGCTGCGTAACATCTCTACCGTCAGTTCCCTCAAAATCCCACGAGAAACCTAAGAATCTACGATGAGGTGGATAAATATCAGAATGATGGTAACCACTAACGATGTCAAAGCTAATCATGAATGCCCCTGGCTCTAGATAATTTTTAGCAGTAACTATATCTTCATATTTAACTTGATCATGCCAAATATACTGGTTAGGATCCTTCTGTTACACACCCTAATATTACCAAATCCCTAATGGCCTCATTAACAAACGTGACATTTTTCAAGGCAGATTGATTATTTTTCAAATAAGCAGGAGATGGAGTGTTTACAAATGGGATTTTATATCCGTTTTCCAGTATGTCTAATACACTGCTATTTGCACATAAAATGTCTTTCCAAAATGACGCGTTTCGTTTTAAATTACCCTTTACAAGTAACTTTGAACCAAGATGTTCAAAATCTGAGTTTGAAGGATTGAACAAATCGCTAGATTGTACTATACTTAACTTATCTACGACGCCTTTACTTGTTGAAGCGATTGCTGCCGCTGAATTGACCTTGACCTGGGCACTCATTTCTCCAATGCCCTGTCTCCCCACAGGAAAAGCAAACATCGGACGTTCTTGGCTGACGTTGTGTACCTTTTCCGAACTGCCCTGCATGTCGGTTGTCGAACCATGACGTATTGTTGGCCGTACCGTATCTCCCGTGATAAAGGCTTGGCTGGATTTGCCTGTTGTTGCCCCTAAAACGATAAGAACCTCTCGCCCAGACTTTTTGTTATTTGACCTTGACTTTTGCAATTTAATGGAAGCTTCTTTAACACATTTTTTGATATATTTATCGTCATCGCTGTCTGAAGCAATTGGAGTCTTTTCATATTCGGAAACAGTCAACCATCCCGCCTCTGAAGAATCGGCTAAACGAATCATTTTATTTCGAGAAAGTAATTGGTTCTTACCTTCTTTGGTAGAAGATTTCAAATCGTCCATGACCTGCTGTTTGTCTATATCTGGAGTTTCCAGCAACTGATCTAGTTTACCAGAAATTTCGTCAAACGTGTCGATTAGGGGAGGCATCAAAAGTTCAATGTCTGATAGGAAACTAAATAAATCTAGTTTTGAGTTGGACCCCCCCCCCCTCCCCCTCAAAACTAAATACAATGAAAGTTGATCGCGGACTTTTCACATGTTTTAGCGTCTCAATTTGGACTTTCATGGGGACAGTACTATAACTTATTTATGATTCTTAAAACATGTGCCAACAACAATAGGCATAATATTCCATGTTGCATGCATCTTGGTGAAGAAGGCATCTGGTAA